AATCCTACTTCATCTTGAGTAGAAGCAGCTACTACTTCCACTGGCCTCACGTGTTTCCCGAGCTGGAACCCTGGGAATAAGTAGCCCCTACCTTTGGAGCAACCTTTTGCGTAACCTTAGCGTTCTGACACTTCCACTACGTGTGTCCGTATTCTCCGCAGTTGATACAAGCGCCACGCATTCGTCGGTCACGCCACACGTCTTGATCAAGACCTGCCTTTACCCACTCAGCCTGTTTGGTCTGATTGGAGGCAGCCTTCCCTTGACCCCTAGGCTGGCCTTTCCCTCGGCCTGCCGCCTTAGTCTTAACTACCGCGGCGAGGGTGCTACCCTCAGCTACCTCCTCGCCGTCATACTCTGAGTAGCCCATCAGGTCATAGAGCTCATCGATCTCAGTTTGAGTCCCATCAGACCCAACCATCATCAACTTCGCCCCCTTCTTCTTCCACTCCTGCAGACTCTTCTTCTTCTTTGAGTCATTCCCTGAGGTGGGTGGAGCATTGCCTAGCGTGGCCTCTAAGTCTAAGGCTTTCCTAGACAATGTCTCAAACGAGTGGTACTCAGTGTGTGCCTCGCTGGCTAGTAAGTTCCTTATGTTCTCTGGGAGACATCTGACAAACGTAGTCAATAGGAACTGATCGCTGTAGTTGATACCTGGAACGAGGATCAGGCTCTCGACGGTAGTCGTAAGCTCTCTAACTGACCTGAACTTGCTTTGGTCTAGTTTGTTAATGGCATCAGTGGCCCTTTGCGCCTCCTGTGGATTATGCCATCGAGCTTCTACCATATCCATGAATTGGTCTAGAGTGAAAGACTTAGCCCAATCTCCCATGCGTCGCCCGTACCCGGCCTTTACAACTACTCCATCTAGCCACTTGGCTGCCTTACCCTCAAGGTAGGATGCAGCAGTTACCACTTCGTCCTCAGGCAAGGTCCTCTTTGCCTTCACCCAAACCGGGACCGTTCTCAACCATGTGTTGAGTTCCTCGTCCTTCCTCTCGCCTGAGAAGGCAAGAGGCGGTTTCATTGGGGTCTTAGGATACCATTGACCTTGCGTCTGTCCAGGTTGCTGAACAGGTTGTTGCGGTGATGTAGCTATCACCGCTGGACCCGAAGAAGAAGATGCAACAGTCTGTGCGGCTGCTGCGGACGTACCACTTGGTTGTGAACCAGCTTGAACTGGAAAAGGGCCTGACATCGCCSATAAYGGCAACGGCGATTGTGCTGGTGGCCTAAATCCTGGCCTTGTTAGRATGTCCAGGATMTGGTCCAAAGTGCTCTGCATGAAGTCCAACCTGCTGTCCACATGCGCATGCAGCGACAACATGTTGTTCCTCAACACTTTCATGGGCTCATTCATTCCTGAGTCATCTAAGCCCTCCAAGTCAGCCTTGTCAGACTCTAACGTTTCAATCCTGGCTGTTCTATTCTTTATCTCTTTTTCTCTATCGGTAGCCTCTTTCAGATCCTTCTCTAACTGTGCACGGATCCTTTCGACCTGCTGGAGCTCTCTCATCTCCCTTTCGCGAGGAGTCAACGGGCTGTACTGCGAGCCCGCCATTTGACTTGTA